GATCGAAACGAAAATGATTTTCTTAATTTTTTTACTGATTAACACTCAATTAATTCTATCACCGCAAACGTATTAGTTTTAGGGATAAATAGTGATCCATTGATTATTCCTTGCTGACCGGACTTTTCCTATAAGGATGAACTTTGTGACAAACATATTGTGGCCAATCACATTTCAAGAAAGAAAAAAACAACAACATTGGATTACACAGATAAGCCTTTCAGGTTGGGTGGAGGTTTGAAGAGGATCCAAATGCAGAGACTGAAGCTAAAGTGGTTTCTTGTAGATTTATTTAAAGAAAGGATAACAGAAGCAGAATCCAAACTAACAAAATCCAGTCCAAAAATACTTAAATCCGGAAAAAAAAAACCACACGAAGGGCAAAGTAATGATGACAAACCAGCAACACTGACTGGGCAGGCGGAGAATAAATGGGAGAAACAAAAAAACAGTCTAATCAGCAGATTGGGAGCAGGTGTGAGCAGAGGAGTCTAGAAGGGAGCTGGGGAAAAGGAGACTGACACAAGAGGGCAACCAAGAAATACCTAAGAACTCAAATACAATCGAAAATAACTAAAATAACGCAAAATGGAAATAAGACCAATGAAAACTCAGAGACAAAACTTAAGCAGCACCAAAACCATGACACACCCGAGCCAAAAGGGTCAAGTGAGTGGAGTAGAAAGTACCATATTTGACTTTTTAAATGTAGTAGAGTAAATGTAAGGAGTACTGCAGTGAATCAGTCCACCCCCCCACCCACACACACGTAAAGGGCAGAAAAACCTGACTAAACTACAGTTACTTTACTCACATTTAATCTAGCTCTGTGGAAAACTTGAAATCAATTAGTGTTCTTGAACTTCTGTTCCTCCAAATCCTTTAGTCCAGTTTAGCCGCGGTGATTAAGGCATGATGAATGCAGGATACTGCTGGGACAACAGGCAGCTCTGAAGTGGATAGACAGCATGTTGCCAAGAAGAGATTGGAAAGGAATGTTCAGCAAACAAAGCACTGCAGAGACGGGGCAAGAAAGGCTGTTTTCACCTTAAGGCTATCTTTGTCTGTAACTGTATTGTTTTCTTCTGTAATTTACTCCTTTGATATGAATTACTTTTGTGTAATTAGGTATTTACTGGTGAGAAAACAGCAGTGGATTGTGGTGAACAGCATATTGTGATAAGAAATGTAGAGAAGCTGCCTAAACTACAAGCTTGGTGGTTTACTGTCAGATAGGAGGCCTTCCTGACGGCACCTTGCTGAGGTGTTAATAACCTCGGAAAACTTAATTTTGTTCCATTATTGTTGCAAAGAACAAGTTTTCTAAGTTGAAATAAAAAATGCAATCCAGAAATTAGACTTTGAAAAAATTCTTAATAACAAAAAAGGAACTATGTTTTATCTCAGATATTTATTTTTTCAAAATGTAAGATATAATAACAATTTGATTGGTCAAGAGCGAGTATTTGGATTGGACTAGAAGTAAAGAGAATTTTAAAACAATGCAGTTCATAAAACTCAATC